TTTTTAACAAAAATCGCTTCCTTTACTCCCCTTTCAAACCATCTCTTTTCTGTTCCTAGGATTTTTACTTGTTCATCTTCAATTGTGTGGTTTGTTTCTTTTAAGTGTGCGTATACTGCACTTTTGTTATCATTGTTTTTCCATTTGTGTTGATAAAGTCTTTTCTTGAGTGTTTGTTTGGTTTCTTCGATGTAATGTTTCTTGCACTCACTTTCTTGGCAACGGATGGAATAAATCAGATTGCATTTTTGGGTGTTAGGAACCCGGTCTTTGGGGTGTACTAGTTTTTGTCTCAATGTGTTTATCGGTTTAAAATAAACAGGAATATCATGTTGTAGAAATATTCTTTGTATTTTCTCTGAGAGGCCGGCAATATAAGGTACACAGACACCCCTTCTCTTCTTTTCTCTCTGTTGGTTGGTTTCCTCTCTGTTTGTTTTAATTTTCCTAACTTTTTTAAAGGAAGCGATTTTTGTTAAAAAATTTTCACCCTCTCTGAACCGTGAAGGAGGTATCAGATTTAACCTGTCTCCTATTTACAATAACTTGTTGACCAGTAAGGGACATAGACATGCTGATCAGGCTAACTGAAAGTAGCTATTCAGCCTTAGCCCAAACAATAGGCCTAATCAAGACCCAATGATAGGGAATTTAGAAACCAATGGGCCTCTAATAAACCAATAGGGGCGTGACTAACCATCCCCACCCAGTCCTCAAACAGGCCACGCTCAGCTTTTTAGCGCAGAGCAACTTCCCGGAGTCTTCACGGAGACTTCAGGGTTGTCTACCGCTGACGAAGCTTCTGTGAGAGAAGCGAAACGTCCTTTTTTGCTTTTTTTTTGTTTTTTACCCACAGGTACAGATGACGACTGACAGAACCCTTTCTACGATGGAACTTTCCTGTACGACTGAGAGCCTCCACAAGCAACTTTTTAAAAATGCAAATAGAACGGGTTGACGAACACTGATGGAAATACGTTGACATTACAAGTATCTTTTGTTGGAGACAAATTCAGATCCATGCAAAGGTTGCTTACCTATCCGGTGAATGTATTCGACGGCGCTGGTGGGGAAATCATAGTTGAGCACCAGGTTGACGCCTTTGAAATCGATTCCTCGGGCCATCAACGCCGTGCAGATCAGCACCCAGATCTTTCCGCAGCGGAAACTCTCGACCACGTTGTCCCGCTAAAAGACCATCGGGGAAGTTAGCACTACTTAGTCATGACTGCAACATGCTTTTTTTTTTAAATTAAATATCCTACCTGTTGTTGCGTGCGCTCAGCGTGGATGACGTCCACATTGATGCCACCGTAGACGAGCTCGTGGAAAAGCTCCCGCGCTCGCTCGATGGACTGGACAAACACCAGCACGGGAGGCAGAAAACCCTGAAAACACAACATTCGAGCTTGTATCCGTGTGTATTTTTTATTTTTTTTAAACCGATCATTTTTTTGACAGCGGAAAGTGGCGTTCAAACCTTCTTGATGATGTCACGTACGGCCACCAGCTTGCCGTTCTCCGTGCCGACAAACAGCAACTCCTGCTCCACGGAATCCACCGCCGTGTTCCTAAATAAGATTCATGTATCGAGGATTCATTTGTCAAATAAATTAATCCGATTCGGCAATACTTATGAAGTAGAATTAATACTACAAAATACAACAAGCTACAAAAAATTTATTATTTCTACTCTGATCAACACCCCGAGTTCCTCAGCGTGGACGTTCCTGCAGCCGTACCTTTGTCCGATGTTGACGGAGACCAGATTGTCCAGGTTGAGACGGCACCACTGTTCCACATCCTGCGTGCAGGTGGCGCTGAAGAACGCCCGGCGCACCTTCGCGCCTGAGCACGCCTGGAAAATGGCCGCCAGCTGCTCCCTGAAGCCCTTCTTGCCGTCCTCGAAGAGCTTGTCCGACTCGTCCACCACCAGCCACTCCACGCTGACCAAAAACAAGCGCCACTTGAAACACACACTCACGACAAATCTACAGGGACCCTGAAATTGCTTTTTAGCAATCAAAAGACTGAAATCATTTTTGAGCGAACACTCAAATGTAACGAAAAGTACAATCCCACAATACTAATAACAAAATTAAAAATCCATAATTTTTTTCTTGATAAAATGATAAACAAACTGAAAAATAAAATACAGTTACATAAAAGAGGTTTAAATTCATACATAATAAAAAAAAAATCCACCACCAGCCACTCCACGCTGACCAAAAACAAGCACCACTTGAAACACACACTCACGACAATCCTATAGGGGGCGCCAAACCTTGAAATTGCTTTTTAGCCAATCAAAAGACTGAAGACATTTTTGAGCGAACACTCAAATGTAATGAAAAGTACAATCCCACAATACTAATAACAAAATTAAAAATCCATAATTTTTTTCTTGATAAAATGATAAACAAACTGAAAAATAAAATACAGTTACATAAAAGAGGTTTAAATTCATACATAATAAAAAAAAAATATCAATAACGGGGTTACAATAAGATAAGACGAACAACTGCCAAATGCAATAAAACGGCTGCCGATGTGAGGTGACACGTTACCTGCTGAGGTCGATGGCGGGAGGATCCTGTTTGAGCAGGAAGACGAGTCGATTGGGAGTACTGATCAGGACGTCTGTGTGAGACGCAACAGGAGGTGCATAAGAAAATGAACTCTTCACATGACCATTTTTTTTTTTTTGTCATTGCCTCTTTCAGCACATATTACCGAATTTTTTGTTCGATTGAGGTCCGAACTTGTTGGCCGCCACCGACGCTTTGTCTAGGATGCGGATTCGGAAGCCGGTACCCTCAGACAGGCGCAGCATCTCTCTGTGGGTCTGACAAACAAATGGTTGCTTAGGACTTCTTTCATGGTTAAGAATTCCAAAGTATGGCACAAGTTCTTATAATGGCCACTTTGAATCAAGAAATAAAATTTTGAATGACAGCAGGTCATAATTATTGCTCTACTTACTGCATGAAGGGATTCTCATGAGTTACCTGACTGGCCAGCTCTCTTGTGGGGGAGATGATGACCGCCCTGAAGCCGAGCTTGGCGGGCTGCTTGAGGTGCGCAAGCAGCGGGAGACAGAAGGCCAGCGTCTTGCCCGATCCCGTCGGAGCGCAGGCCAGGAGCTCGCGACACTGAAGGACGCGCCGTCATGATGTCACAGACGTGCACGATCAACGCAGAGCGCACACGTGTGCGTGTGTTTGTACTCACCTGCATCATGAGCGGGATGGCCTGCATTTGAATGGGCGTGGGCGTGCTGAGGCCGGCATTGCGCATGTTCTCAAGGAGCCGCGGGTTGAGATGGTACTCGGACTGCAGCTCCTCGAAGGTGCACACGGGGTCCGGCGCGTCGCTGCCATGCACGTTGATGCGGTGACGAGAACGCAGGCGGTTCACCTGAATCACATCACAACATAACGTAGTCATTCATTACATACACTGAAACTTTTTTAATAATAATGGATGACATAATGGTTCATCCATGGCAGGAGGGTACACATAAAGGTCATCCACAAAAAAAAATAAAAATAGAAAACAGATGAACACAAAAAAATAAGAGTCCGACCTTCTCCCGATGAATCTGCTTCAGCCTTTTCAGCGACGACTTCTCCTTCCCATCGCCCTGAAGGTTCTGAATCTTCCCATCCAGTGAGGACATCCAGGTGATCCCGTCCTGCTTTGAGTTATTCAGTCCATTGGCGTTCCCTGCAAAATGTTGACCTTTAACCATTAAATTCATTTAAAAACATGTTTTCATAAAGTACAATATGATGAGGTGCTATTTTCAACATACTTCATTGAAAGTGGCTCTGGAAGCCATTAAAAGGAAAGGTTACCTGCTATTTTTGCCGTCTTTTTCTTCTTCTTCACCGCCCTCTCCTCATCCCGTCGCTTTCTTTTTTTGACCCCGACGCCGTTCTCATCTTCATCTCCCTCCCGATCTTTGGCTGTGCTCTGCGCTCCACTCGTCCCGCCTGCACCGAAGTAATCGATCGCAGAGAGCTGCTCGAACGACGCGTCTCCCGCATGCGTCCTGACAACCTAAAAAGAAAATATTTACAGACGGAATGTGCACACTTCGGTGTTACATCAAGTCGCTCGTGACATTATACCGTTCGTAAAACTTCCCCCCAAAACGATAACGGTGGATGCTAATCACGCCGCGTTGACACGAGTAGCCAAAATTCGAATGAATAGTAGCGATTTACATCTAAAAAATATTTTTTCCGTCTAACAAGTCATCAAATACACACAATAGACCTACCTTGAAGCGAGACGCGTCCTGGCCGAACCTTTTCAGGTCGAATTTAGCTCCAGCTCCGAGTTTCCGAAACAACTCGAAAGCGTCCATCTTGGTTTGTAGGCCAAGCAAACACGCATGCGTATAGCAGATGAGCTTCTTCTTCTGTGGTTTGTAATGGCGATCAATTAGTTTCATTACCGCCAACAACTGGATTGGAGTTTACACTGAGCATGTGCATATAAAACAGAAAACTTGGAACAAGTACTGTATTGTCCATAATTAAATGATTTCACACACATTATATTTTTCAATCCAGATTCTTTTAGGAAAATATTGTCTGAAGATGATCAGTAGGGTGTACTGATTGTGTTATTCTTTATTTCGTTGGCCTAACTGAAGTCAGCATTAGTCTTTCATGAAAGATCACAGAAAACCAAGAATTTAACAAAATCTACAGTTCCAGCTGTCCTGTAATCGTGAGCGAGAGCGGCTGTTTATTTGCCCGGTGATTAGCTAGAGAGCAGTCCAGGGTGCAGTCGACTTGTTCCCCAAAGTCAGCTGCGATAGGCTCCAGCTCACGAATGAGAACAAGCAGTATTGAAATTGGATGGATGGATGAATGATTACTTGAAATCATCCCTTAAAAGTGCTCCCAACATGTCAGACATGCTTTTGGTGACGTCCTGAGTTTGAACATCAAAGACAAATGAAGATGAGCTGTGTTGAAATGATCAAGTAACATAAATTAAAAAAAAAAAAGGTAAGGTTTTCATGGTGTATGATAAAAAGCCTCCATTAAGGCACAAGGGTGTCTGTTATGTTGCAAGTTCGTCAGGGTTCCTCGGAGTCTTTCAGCAAATCCTCCAGGAAGCAAATCAGTGCCGCTTTTGCGCTCTCCTCCGTGTCGACCTCCATCGCCTTGAGTCTTTGAACCATCTGCTGTAGACTCTGGACTCTTTGCTGGGGGTCGAAAGTGTCCCCCGCCGCTGCGTCCTTCTCCTCCCCCGGCACCCCCTCAGCTCGCAGGTACTTCAGCAGATGCTCCCTGAGGCCACCGCCCTCCTCCCCGGCTAGCGAGGCGGAGATTGCGGGTAGGTCCGACGGCAGCCCGAGACGCAGCAGGTGCAGCAGGGCCCGTGAGAGTGTGTGGCGCAGACTGGCGCTGTAGCGGTACTCCAGGAAGTCGTCCGTCTCTTCGCTACTCCGGAGCGCCGCAGCCAGTGAGCGCCAAACGTGACCGAAGCGCTCAGCGTCGCCGTAGCAACGACGGTGGGCAGGCACAGCCAGGGCGGCCGCAGACTTGATGCGCACCTTGAAGTTTTTGCAGGAGCCCACCACGTTGCAAAGGGCGGCCAAGGCGTCGCCGGACCAGCAGGCGGACTCTATTGCGAGGGGGCGGCATTTTAACAATGTTGACATATGTATTTACGCATATTAAGTGAAAAGAATTGTTAAAAATCCATAGTAAATATATTTTCATGACCAAGTGGAAAAACAGCTAAATTAATGCCCTTCACGTGAATAAACTTTGAACTCATCCAAGGTGACTTTGTGCAGGGTTCAAACCTGCATAGGTCAGCTGTCAATCACAGAACTGGCACTCTGGCTTGGTTGTGGTCCACTTACCGAGCGGCAGGTCTGGATTCTTGAAGGCTTTGCCCAGAGCGTAGCAGGCGTTCCAGCGCACCTTCATGGTGGCCACCGACTGCACAGTCTTGACCAAAGCTCTCATGGCGTCTTCCAGAGGCTGCCGGAAGGCCGCGCGGCTCAGCTGAGCCTCGCGCAGGAAGTGCAGCAGGTTGCCGATGGCTCGCACCGCGTTGCACTTCACCTGGGAGGGGGGGGGACCCCAAAAACAAACATGAAATTTGTGGAAGTCGTATTCGAATAATGTGCGGAAAAAAAGTCTGCACCAAATGTTTATTTTGGGTATCTTTGGTGTCACCAAGTGCATCTCTACAATTCTTCTAATAAAGACTTTTTGATACTTATGGCGCTACCAATACTAGAACATCTGATCTGACTAAGATGTCACCTTGTCTTTGTCCGCCGCCGACCGCGTGGCCGCTTGCAGCATCTTCAGCAGCAACATGTCCGACATCTCCTTCTGAAAGTCGACTTCCACGCAGTCCCTGGAGAAGACGAGAAGCAAAACGTCACTCGCGCACATAAACAGGCCCCGTTTTTTTTTTTTTCTAAGGTCTCACATGTTGACGAGGAGCGTGTCGGTCAGGTTACCGAGAGACCATGCGGCCTTGGCGCGGATGTTGGAGGATCGGTCGTCCAAGGCGGCGAGGATGGAGTTGGCCGTGTCGGCCACAAACATCAAGTCCTCAAATGAAGACAAAACAATGCGTCAAGTCATTTTTCAGAATTGGATTATGGCTCCCTTACCTCTCTCAGGCAAGGGAAGAGCACGTAGACGCCCAGAGCCCTGACGGCCGCCATCTTGACCAGGTCGCTGTCGCTGTAGGTGAGGCCCAGCAGGACGGTGATGCACATCAGCTGCATCTTGTCCTTTGACAAGACACGCACAAACGATTCCGATTCGGGTTGCAGTCTGGACGCGGTGGGCGAAGTATCTGCACTTGAGGAGTCTGGACAGTGTCCAGAAATCGCCAACGTAACCCCACAAAAAGTCATTTGATTTGTTGCTGGCTGCTTTTTTTTTTTTTTTTTTTGAAAATTACTTCCAACAGGGGTCGCAAGATTAACTACATTGGCGTCATGGACTGCACTTTTGTAAACTCTTCTCTCTCTTTGCAGCCATGTCAAATCGTGGGATGAACTTCAATTAAAATGGATTAATTGTCTAGCTCGCACGCGCAGGGAAAAATAAAAATGAAAAAAAGGTGTGTGACTCACGGGCAGCTGAGCGAAGGCCTGCGGCAGGATGGAAGCGAGCGTGTCGCAGGCGCTGGTCTGCAAGGTGGGATGCTGCTGGTTTTGCAGCGCGCCGTTCAGCGGCCCGCTCAGCACCTCCGTCCAGAACTGCACCACCTTTTGATGCGAGGTCATTCAATATATGTCAAACCGACAGTGAATTTTTCATTTTGAAATTTTCCCCCATGGCTGAATATGCGTAACTTTTTGCGTGTGCGCATCTCAACGCCAACGTACTTGGTTGAGGGGAACCCGCGGACCCTCTGGAACGTCGCTCTCGGCCTGGTATTGCTGAATGATTCCGGTTCCGAGCTCCTCGAGCAGCTGCGCAAAGGGTGCCCAAAAATGCTTAAACGATGACATTTGATGGACATTTTGATTTCGTTTGGATTTTATGAGGGGTACCTTCGCGCCGTGAAGCTGTATGGACGGGTCGCTCTCGGCCAGGCAGCGAGCGCAGAGTTGCCCGATCTCGCACAGGCAAGCCTGGGACAGCGAGATGTAACCTCGCACCAGGTGGGAAAGCACCTGCAGGGCCTCCAGCCGCACCGGCGACGGCTCCAAGGCCAAGCCGCCGACGCCCTCGCTGTCCGAATGCTCGTCCCTGGGCTGCGTCACCAGCGCGGCGCACAGCGTCAGCAGCCACGGTGGGCCGCCCTCCGCCTCCTTTGGCGTGCGAGGAGCCCGCGGCGAGGGGGTGTCGCCCGGTTGTCGCCAGCTGAGGGCGCGGGAGTCCTGTGGCGTGAAGGAGCCGCCACCGCCACTTGCGCTGCTGCCCTCTGGCTGCTGGAGGAGGAGCTGCACTTCGGGAAGCGGCGCCTGAGTCGTCACCAAAGCGCCGTAGAGCGTCAGTGCCGACACGCGCACGTTAGTGTCTGAGGACACGGGGAAGAAAAACGGTTTCGTTCAGTTTGAGTGCGGATTTCAGGCAAACGCGGAATGTCAAATGGCCACTTTGAACAATGGGTCCTTGAGAATTTAGAAATGTCCGAGTGTGGAACTAAATCATTACCTCTGTGGCGCACATATGGTCGTATCTGCTTCCACAGTGAGCTCAGCAGGCCGGGCCTCAGGCGGTGGTACGGCGCATTGGACACCAGGTGGGCCAAACACTAACAGCACAGGATTTTTTTTTTTTCCCTTTAAAATACAGCCATGCTCACCACGAATATTGAAAACCCACAAGTAATTAAGTAATTATAATTTCCCGACAATTATAGCACTACTCTTGCCAAACAGAACCGCCTCAACTGACTTTAACACAGTTCCATTTACAAAGATGCCACAAGATGGTGGAAAAGCACTAGTCTTGACTCTAAGGAGCTTTAAGAAAAAAATAAAATTACAATAGAGGAATTGATGTATGAGTACCTTGATGACCTGCGTGAGCGTATGAGGAGACGTCTCGGCCATGAGAGCCAAGCTGAGCGAACGGTGAAGCTCTCGGACGGCGGTGGCCAAGGTGAAAGAAAACGGCGTGTAGGAAGTGCGCGGCGACGCCGTGTCCTCTGCCACGGCCAGGAACTGCCGAGAACCGTCCAGCATGGCCGACAGCGCCTGGAGCGCGCACATACGGACCTAAGAAACACAGACCAGGTGTGAAACCACTGCCGATTTGTGTGGCGGGGGGGGGGTTAGCGATAGCCCGGCGCCACACCGTGCGGAAGGGCGGAGTCAGCCAACGGTTTCGGCCTACCTTGGGCGAGGGGTCTTTCAGTATGATGGTGAGCAGGGTGAGCGGCGGTGCCGCTCCGTTTCCGACAGGAGCTTCCGGAATGAAGGAGGACCAGTAGCCGTACAGGGTCCGCTTCTCCACCCACTTGACCACGGCCAGCAGGCAGTGCAGCGCCCCCTGGCGAACACGGGCATGCCGAAGCCTGACAGTGGAAGGAAAGGGATTGTTTGGCTTTGCCATCTTCATTTTATTGTATTTTTATCATTTAGCAAAACTGGAAATACAGTATTTTTTTCTCCCTCAACTAAAAGCTAGAAATAAATAAAGAGCAAGTAAAATTTAAAATGCCTCTCATGAAACCTAAATGTCGCGCAATGGGTAGACGCATTTTGTTTGGCATTACTGTGCATGTGGTTTCAGGCTGTTATGTATTTAATTTCACTACCGTAGCTTGCTCTGCGCGCTGCCTTCCGAGTCAGAAAACTCCGAATCCGAAGTATTCCGCTTCCACGAGGGGTACAAAGAAACCCCCGAAGCTTTGCCTTCACTTCCTGTTTTGTGAAGCGCCAACGCCGCAGTCTCGCCGTTATCCTCGTCGTCCCGCCTGCCCTCCTCCACGCTTGGTTTCTTAGCCTTCCCTCTGGATCTCCTTTTCTTGTTCTGCAAATACAAAACACTGTCGGTCATCCTGTCCGAAGACTCGCACTGGAGGTCCGCCGCCTCACCGCAGTCGCTTTCCCCCCACCGTCCTTCGCCGCCTCCGGCGGTTTTGGGGCTTCGTCTTCGGGTTTGCGTGCAGAAGGGCTCTCGTAGTGCGAGAGAGGTGCTGGGTAGAGCACGGCAGGCCACGTCACACTGACCCCCGGAGTTCCTTGGAACATGAGCCTCTGAGAGAAGGTCGGTCGCGTTAATAGACGAGCTGGACTCTTGACGGAGCCGAAATCAACCAAACGTTCCTAAACCGTGACTCTCGCGTGGGATAATGTCAGTATCTCAAAGTGTCATGGAATCCAAAGCGTGAGAATAGAATGGCTGGCGTGAATTTAACCTATTACAATTTTTAGGCATTGATAAATTCATTTTGTCACCTTGAGAGCGGCCAGCACCGATCCGACCACCTCGTCGCCACCGAACTTCCACTTCCCGCCCAGCAGACAACAATGGAGTCCTTTCAACGCGGCCTGGAGCACCTGCGCATGCAATCGACATTCTCAGCTCGTGGTGGATGGTGACTCATTTGTCCATGTCCTCGCTTTAAAATCCGCCCCCCAAAAGGTTCCTGACATTAAAACAGATCCAAACGAAGACACAAACGATGCTTACAATGCAGTAAAAGAGTTCATCGCCGTCGTCCGGTCGGGGCACCTGCAGCGTTTGCAGGAAGAGCGAGAAACACACGCTCTTGTGCCCGTCGTCCAGCGGCGGCTGACCCGAAATCCTGCAAGGAGACAAAGCGCATTTTCTGTTATTTTAGGCCTATTACAGCCTGCAAATGATATTTGTCGCCTGTGGCTGAAGATATCAAGCCCACCTGACACAGATGTTGGCCATACAGGTGAGGGCCGCGTGACGTAGATCCATATCGGGCTGAGAGGGGGCGCCGTAGAGCAGGAGGACTCCGCCTTCTCCCAGCAGGTTGTCGAGTTGCTAAAAATAAACCCGATAAATTAAGAGTTGCAGCCGTAGTGGTGTCCACGGAGTGCTCGCAAGACGTGGCACCTGGTGGCACTGCTGTCCGTTGCCGTAGATAACGGTGGCAAGTGCCTGCAGGACCCCGAGGTGCGTCCACGTGCTGCACGCTTCTAACGCTGCCATCAAGTACTTCAGCAGGATGTCCAGGGTCTGTTTGTCCATTATTACCTTAAAAAACAAAAAATAAAAACGTTTTTGATTTCTTATGACTTATTGAGGAAATAGTCACCTACCTTGAGCTGGTGGAGGAGGTGATGCACGAGCTTGCATAGCTTGACAACCAAATGTTCTTGATTCATGGGCACAAGACGAGTGGCATTCACCAGCAAGATGCAAACATCCTGAAATTAAAGTTGTTTTTTTTTCATTTCACTTATTAGACGTAAATTATTGCATCACTGTTAGATAATTCACATCGTGTCCAAATGTTGAAATGTTTTCATGTACATAACCTCGTCGTTCCATCACACCCCACACATTTTTGAGAACCCCTAAAGCCAATCGGAAAGGCTTCGGGATTCTGCTTCGACTTTAGCCCCTGGAACAAGACAGTTAAAAATGACACTCGGTGTGCTATCCTCACCTCCGGCTGAATGTTAAAGTTGGGCTCCACGCTCCGGTTGAAGGGCTCGGAGATGAGCTGGTCGAAAAGAAGGTTGAGCTCATCCCGCAGCTTGCTCGAGTCCGCCCGCAGTCCTCGCACCTTTGCGGCGCAGTGGCAAAAAAGCCTCTCGGCTTCCGTCTGCGGCCAGGCGCCACGCTGCCACACGTCGGCCCCCTGAGGCGTGAACGGAGCGGCATCGGCGGAGAGAGGCACAGAGGGGAAACCGGGTAAATCACGGCCGATGACGGGCGCAGACGACGCCGGTGAGTCGCCAAGAGCCGCCATTTTAGTTTGTATTCTATTACTTTTTCGTTGGCTTTAATGTGTTGAGGTAGCAAAACACTGGTCATCGTACCGCCACCTGTGGTCTTGGAGAATAATGCAACATTGATCATGACAGAAATCACAGAAAAACGTGAAAAATAATTTTGATAATAAAATACACTTCACAAATAATTTCTCAATTATGGCTTTTTTTGGAATTATTTTTGTCTGTGTGTGTGTGCGTGTATATCCATATATTGGAGCGAAAAACAATTTAGTAATACGTTCATTCTAGAAATAGAAATATACCAAATAAAATATATTTGGTGGCTTATACATTTTGAACACGTTATATTTTCATTCTAAAATAACATTTTGGGTTAAAAGTTAAAAATGAGACAAAAGATATTTGAAATTGATGTTCTATGTTATAAAAAATATATATTTTGCAATTTATATATTTATTTATATTATTTATATACCTCCCCAAACGCGGTAGACACATCACCATCGTCTCTTTCCATTTAATAAAGTCTGAGCAGGTACCTCCAGAGGGAGTCCCATCTGCAGAGTGGTTGACGGACAGCATGGAGTTGTTTAATGGCTGGCTGCTTCATCCAAAAAAAAGAAAAGAAAAAGAAAAGAAAGAAAGATTTTCAAAAGATGCAATATTTATGGGAGAGTTGGATTACGTAGCGTAAGACGCCCAGTCCTGTCTGGAGATGCACCAGAATTGCATTCTCAATGAACGTTTCATTGCATCTCTAACAACCGTTCGATACTATCAATTTAATTTTAAAAAAGTCCGTGTTGATTGTAATTTGTAAATCAGCGCATGTACAATGAGAAATGACTATTTCACAAGCATTCCCAAAGAGAGACAACTCCAGACACATCGCATACGTTTTAAATTTTATTAAAAGAGAATAAAGCTCTGATGACATTGGAGACTCTACTTAAGAAAAAAAAAACTCATCAGGAAAAAGCGGGTTCAAGAAGATAAACCACATTCCCTCCCTCTTTTCCCCCCTCCCTCCACCGTCTGGAAGCCTCTCATGGTTTTGATGAGAGCTCTTGATTTTCCAACAATAATAAAAAAAAATAAAAAATTGAAGTCACAACACTGTCACTATTTTTTTAATTTCCACAACATGGAAAATAACCACTAAATATGTTTCTTTGGGAACGCCCAATTAGATTTTAACTATGGAACTACAATGCTTGAAAGGTTGGATGTGGGAGCTTGTCCTGGTAACAAACAACAAAAAAACGAAAAAAAAAATCTCCAATGCTCCTGCTCCTTGTATCCATCCTGATGCCTAAAAATCCTAAATCCTGATCCGGCTCCGGATGGGGTGACAATGAGCCCAGTCCAAACCTTCAGAATACCAGCAGAACCAAAGAGAAGGAGTTAGAATCACACCTTCGCATTGAACGGAAAAAAAACATCTACATTTTGACGTCACTAAAGAGGGCTGGAGAAAACTACAAAGAAAATTAATGTAAATAAAAAACGGGGGTGGGGTGGAGGCACCACCGACAAACAAAATAGATGCAGAAGCTTATTTCTGGGGTTGGGGGTTGAGTACTGAGAAACAATGGGGCGCCATTTTAAGTGTAAAAACATGTGAACAGCCTCACAATTAGATGTTTGTAAAGGCACAACCATCATACCATTGCGTGCCACATTTGTATCCTCCTCCTTCTCATCCTCCTCCTCCTGTTTATCCTAATTTGAACTGTTTCCTTCTCTTCCCATCCTATCCTGCCGCTCTGATCTCTACAGAGAGACACACAAGAAGATCAGCGGATATAATGCTTTGAGAAGCCAAATAAAAAGCACAGCAATAGCGGCAGCATTCAAGGTACGGGGAAGAGGGAGTGGGAAAATGAAGGAATGGTGAGTAAAATAGAAAAAAAAAAGTCACCCGACAAACAGTGAAGGGAGGAGGGGAGACGGGGAGGGGGGCAGCAACAAAAAGCACAGGCAGGGCTAATGAGAAATACATGATAAACGGGATCCGACTCCGAGGTTTCTTTTCCCCCCTCTCGATGCGCCACTCTCCGTCAAGTCAGGGCGGCGGTGGATTTAGGTGCGGGAGCGAGACCGGGAACGGGAATTGGAGCGAGAGCGCCGCGGGGAGTAGCGCGGCGAGGCCCGGCTGCGTCGAGCAGGGGAGTAGCTGCGCGATCGGCTCTTGCTTCGGCTGCGACTGCGCGAGCGGTCGTAGCTGGGACTGCGGTGGCCGTCCATCCTCACGCGGATGTACGCCGTCTCGCCCTGCGCACATAAAACAAATGCTCAGTGTTTCATGTTTAACACATTGGGTGCTGCTTCTCATGGAGAGGAGCCAGATGAGGTGGCTCGGGCACTGCATTCCGATGCCTGCTTGGTGAGCCGTTTCAAGCATGTCCTACCGAGAGGAGGCCCCAGAGACGCCCCAGGATACACTGGACAGTCTCCTGGCTGGCTTGGGAAAGCCTCGCTGGAAAAGCTGGATGAAGTGGCTCGGGAGAATAAAGTTGGGGCTTTGCTGCTTTGGCTGCAGCCCACCGATCATTTGCATTCAAGAGTAATGAATGATAATATTTGAAGTATTTATTTAGCGGACCCGTAAAGTTGGGAGATGTGTCAAGTGTAGTCCTTTACACCCATTAATCTTGTCAAGGAAAAAAAAAAATAAAAATACATCCAATTTTTAAAAAAATTCATATTCCTAATTGGCCATTCAATCAAAATGTGAAGTTATTGAACCTACTAAAAACAGAAGAATAAATAAAAATATACATATGAATACCGAAAAAGGGGAATCAAATTGCAAATTCAGTAAAATAGTAAAAGTTGGAAATTCATCACATTGATAGCTTGGAAAAAAAAACATGAAAATGTGAAAAGAGGGTTGGTAAAAATGGAAAAACTCAAAATGTGAATACTAATGATATTGTCATCAAAGCAGATTTATACTTACTCTTCCATAGCTAAATGTTAAAACAATAATAAATAAATTGTAAAATTAATAACTTAGTTGCCCACTCATTCATCGTAACTCTGAACTCTCTTGGCCCAAATCATATGTTGGTGCCGGCTTTTCGGGCTCTTCCCCCTCCGCGCCCGCCTACCTCGTGGGAGCGAAACTTGCTGTTGTCCAACTTGTGCACAGCGTAGGTCATGTCCTCCTTGCGCACAAACTCCACCACGCCGCTGCCGTCGCGGTTCACGTCGGCATAGCACACGTCGCCCGTCTCTCGCATGTGGTCCTTCAGGTCCTGAAAAAAAAAAAAAAAAAAAAAAAAAAAAGTTAAGAGACTTTTTAAGATAAGATAAGATAAGAAAACCTTTATTAGTCTCGCAATGGAGAAATTCCCAATTCACAGCAGCAATTTTGGGGGTTTACATCTACCTGACACACTGTGGAAGCCCCAACCCACCTGACACGATGACCCTGTACTCTGACCGTCGAGATGGGGGCCCATAACGGCCCCTGGGGGGGCCTGCCGCTCCGCCTCGGCCGCTGCGGGGAAACTCCACGCGCAGTCGGTAGCCATCATAGTCGTAGCCATCTCGACCGTACACGGCATCGTCTGCATCCCTGGCAAATTCAACACAAAGTTACATACATGAATATACATACACGCACTTCATAATGAGTAAGTGTTGATGTCCCCGCCCCACCCACATACTGCCGGAAGTCAGTTAGGATCGGCTCCGGCAAGCCCGCGAACCTCGTGAGGATAAAGCAGTTCAGAAAAAGGATATAATTTACAGATTTTTTTTTTGTTTGTGATTTATTTGGATAAAATGTTAACTAAGGAGGTTAGAGCCAACTAGAGTCAGTCTTCCTCATCTTAATACAATAAACATTCAGGAATGAATACGTGTTAAGATTAATGGCCTTTGTTTGATGCATTTGGGTATCGAGTTATCCCATTCGAACTTATTCAAACGTGGGGTCAAAATGTACATACTTTTGTTGAAAAAAGTAAAAAGCAATTCGAGCCGATAAGATGTAACTTCAACCGAGCCACCTGCGAGGGGAGCGTGTGCGCGTTCGGCGCTCACCTCGGGTCCTCGAACTGCACGAAGGCGAAAGGCGGTCCCCCTCGTCGGTTCTTCAGATCGATGTCGCGGATGGAACCGTACTTGTAGAAGAGATCTTCGACGTCCTTGGAGCGGATGTCGGGCGGCAGGTTGCCGACGTAGATGCGGCAGTCGTTGCTCCCCGCCGGTCCGCGGATTATGCCTCCGCCAGACATGCTAGCAAGCTAGCTAGCGCACAATGGACGTGGTAGCGTGGAAGTGGATGGGCTAGCTAGCTAGCTATTGAGGCTAGCTGGCGTGTTCGCTGGCTTCTTTGCTTGGGCGAAGAAGAAGCGCGGTTGTGGATCAATTCGTCTAGTCTCGCCGTTGGGAACAACGCGGGGAGTATTCTGGCACTACTTGCGCGCGGTATAGTTAAATCCCTCAAGGTATTAAAGTGGAGAAAAGATCTAGCTAATTCCCTCAAGGTGCTCGCCTGTGCACTTTCCGCCAACACCGCCGTCTTCTTTGTTGGACTACTTAAAGGCTTCCGGGGAGATGGGCACACTGCCGCCTACAGGAGACACGTGTCAACTGCTTCAGTGAGCGTCACTCCCCTTTCCCGCCAACACTGACTTCTTTGTGGGAATATTTAAATAGCGGAATCTGAATGTTACTTACACCGCCACCCACAGGAGAAAAAATATGTAAATTGCACCCAGTAAATGGCAATTAGGAGTCTATCTATCTATCTATCTATCTATCTATCTATCTATCTATCTATCTATCTATCTATCTATCTATCTATCTATCTATCTATCTATCTATCTATCTATCCATCTATCATTCGTCCATCTTGTCACCCAGTTTATAATAAAGGTTTTATTCATTCAAATGTGAAATGTGTAATATGCTCCATTTAAATGTCCCGTAAAATATTAAAATCTGACTTGAATGTTTTTTGTGCTTAAATGAATATATATACTGTATATATATATATATAAATATATATATATATATAGACTTTAATGAGTGTAATCGTAACGCACCTCTCGGTCCAGTGACTTCAATCACAGCGGTGTATAGAGAGAGAGAGAGAGAGAGAGAGAGAGAGAGAGAGAGAGAGAGAGAGAGAGAGAGAGAGAGAAAAATTCACAAAAATTCAACAGATATAAAGTAAATAAAATACATAAAACACTGAAAATAATTCAGTATTAATTTAACATCTTCTAATTTATGGAATCCTCCCTTAATAAACTAAAATGTGAATGTGTTTTTATGCCCAAATGAAATAAATATACATGGTACTACATCATTCCAAAATAACCACCTTCAAAAACCTCAATATCCCTTTTCACGTGAAACAAATATCAGAGGAGTCTCGACAGAACCAAATTGTTTTCATGTCTCGCTTGTTTTTTTTCATTATTACTGTGTAATTTGTGGTGTGAACCATCACAGAGTCATAAGACAATGAGGCACGTCACAAGTCATAAGGATGTGGGACTCATAAACGGCACCCATCCCGAAACGCTTGTTTCAAATGTCATAAAAAGAGAGTGTTTCTCTTGCTAAGCAAAAGCAGATGTAACCTTTCAACTTTTTGGCTAAATGCCCCAAATTCCTTCTGATGATAACACAGAGAAAGGGGGGGGGGCATCAGGTTTTGATAAATTGGGGGTATTTGCGGAAGACATAAACATGCGCCTCCTTGAAATGAGGAATCCAATCGGACTTGCCAACCCCCCTTTTAAGGCATTTCCCTTAGAAGAGAGGGAAGGAGGGAGTGGGTCCGTGAAGGGAAGGGGGGGGGGGGGGCCCTGCAGGATGTTCTCACAGGATGCTGGAACGAGCAGTCCGAGTCGAGCGGCATGAGGAGGAAGAAAGGAAAAGAGTCAGCTGAGAAGAGCGTCGGGGATTCCAGCGGCCGTGCGGTCTCTATCGATCCCGTTTTGGAGGTGTCGGAAGGTGGGGTGCGCACACGAGGTGGTGAGGATGTGAAATCAACGTGGGCAGGACACGCTGGAAAGACTCGCCGTCTGCCAAGAGTCAGGTACATGTTAGTTCTGGATTGTGTGACATCATGTCAAACGGAAAGTCGTGTTCATTTATTGACAGCGAATCGCTGACGCAAGTCGGTCATGTACAGCATCAAAGACGCAGATACGGGAGCTCGAATCAAAAATTAAAAGAGTCGGAGCTCACTGACTGACTGACACTTGATTTTGCTGAGACTCCAGCCCGGAAACTTCACTTGGAAATTAGCTCTTCGGCTTTTGGACAGCAGGTCTTAGACTTGATTGCGACTCGAACCCTCAAAGATACAAAACATGTCTCAGCGAAGACGCAGATACGGGAGCTCGAATCAAAAATTAAAGAGTCGGAGCTCACTGACTGACACTTGATTTTGCTGAGACTCCAGCCCGGAAACTTCACTTGGAAATTAGCTCTTCGGCTTTTGGACAGCAGGTCTTAGACTTGATTGGGACTCGAACCTTCAAAGATACGAAACATGTCTCAGCATCCAGCTCAAAGACCACCGGACACATGATTTGAATTTAAAAACCAGGGACTGCAGTTGAAAGACTCGAGGCCCCGTTCAGTTTTAGACCTTGACTCGGGCTTCAGTTTAAAGTCTTTCGACTACACGTGAGCTGGAGGTGAGTTGAACACTTGAGACATGACCCCGACTTGACCTGCAGTTGGACTCGTGACATGAATTGAAAGAGTTGTCTTTGTTTAGACCTTGACTCGGGCTTCAGTTTAAAGTCTTTTGACTACACGTGAGCTGGAGGTGAGTTGAAGACTTGAGACATGACCTGGACGGCAGTTTGACTTCTGACATGAATTGAAAGAGTTGTCTTTGACAACATCTTCGAGAATTAGGACAAAACACACCCTCGCACCCGCCGTCGGCGAATATTTATCGGCGCGTGACGGCCGCCGTTGACGAATATGTCCTGGCCAAATTTCTTGAAACTCTCTTCATCCTCCTGCCTGACGACATCAGACTTAAATTGACTCCAGCTCAAGGAGATGATTTTGATTTGGGTTAAAAGTCGAAAGATTCCTCTTCACGTTTCATTTCATTTCGTCTGGCTGAACATTTGAATTTGAATACACATGAACAAAATAGAACCATTTTTTTTTTCCCCCTTGGGAGTTTACCTCGGAGTCACATGACGTATATTTTATCAAAAGAAGAAATAGGCTGTGACATCACAATGCTCTTTGATTCATTTTGCCGAGTCACTGGCTTTCTGTCGAACCAGTTTTTAAAAAGAAAACCAAAAAAAAGCCCCTGTTGTTTGGGCATAAATAGCACAGTCATATAGGTCAGCGCAGGTCTACTTCCTCTTGGCCTTCTTCGCGCGGGCTCGATCACTTCCAGCATGCATCCTGCGCCTCTGCACGCGTCCGCTGATGATGTCCCCGTCCCACAGCAACATGGCCGCCTTCCCGTTGCTCTTCCCGCTTCTGGTCGGCTGCGCGGTGACGGCAGTCCGCCCGCCTCGCCATCGCCCTTCCTGCCACATCGTAAGTAAATGTTACGAATCCCTTTTGAGTGTTTGTGAAATGGAAGTGCATTCCTGACATTTTAATGTCAATAAAATAGGGAGGAGGGGGTTTGATTTGGATACGTTGCACATGGCAACAGGGATGAGTTTCCTCATCTGCTTGAGCCGCTTCATTTATTTGAATTCAGAGATTCTTAGTGAATCACGTTTGACTTTTTGGCCCAGGTTTCCCAGTATATCCTGTTCACGTCGATTCCTGACACTCGTGTTGTTATGTTGTAATTGGGTGACAAAGTGGGAATGTAAGTCACACCCCCCCGCCCCCTGCATCCCCCCTTCCTGTTTTATGAACATTCTGAGCAATTACTCCGAAGAGTCTTTGATAAGTGACGAGAAATTGAATCACACGAGGGTCAGAAGAGAAAGAAAAGTTCATGTTGAGTGAATGTATCCCCGAACCACAAACCTTGCCGTATAATCCAAACACCAAACAGTAAACCGACGCTCGCTCTTGACTTTGCTCTAAACCTACACCGGTCCTAAGCAAGGCCTTCTAAACCCGACCCTTAACCAACCCGAACCCCAAATCTTTTCCCAAATCCTAAATCCTCACATCCACCTTGAGACCTGTTTCAAATTTAATTCTTTAAAAATATAAATATATTTTTCAAATTTTTGCATTTTGACCCTCCAAGGCCCCCTGTATCCCCTCATCACTTTTGGCTCAAACTAAAGTAGGAGCAACCAATCAATGCCCCATCCAGAGATAACGCAGAAAAGAAAATCAACGGATGAATCGATGATGGATGAAAGGAGCGAACACGATCCACTTCAGGTTCTTAAATCCTTGAAGTGGACCCGAGGGTTCACGAAAAAAAAACTCAAGAGTTCGGTAGTGTTTGTTTACGTCAGCACGTAAGCAAAGAGCAGCTTTTCATCAAAACCGCAAGTATGCCGAGAATTTGAAAGGCCTCCGTGAGAAATTGGAGATGGATGGGGGCAAAGGGGTGGGTGGTGGATGGTGGGGGTCCTCTGGCCATCTGTTTTCAATTACAAACTCCATACGTCTAATATCTATAGATTGTGCCAAGGGAGAGAAAGTTACCCAACAAAGAGGTACTTTTTAACTGACGTAATAAAGGCGCTTTTGTTGATGCTTCCTTCTGGAATTTCCCTCCCGATTGATCGGAAAGATTTTGGCCGAAGGGGCTTAGTGGCGGTCTTATGATGTTGCGTCTCGAAACAGCCAAACAACAGCTCGATCAAGACGTGAGGTTTTTATTGGACGGATGAATGGTCATAAACCTCTCGAACATCACAGGCCTCCCAAAACAAAAGTCGCCTTTGAACACGTTTTGCTATTTTCTCAACGCGATCCCGCCAACACGCTGTGTTGTGTTTGTCTCCACTGGCAGGTGGGGACGAGGGTGGTCTGCAGTGATTTAAGCCTGACCGGCACCGCCGCCGACCTCCCGTCGGGCGTCCGAGCGCTGGACCTTTCGCACAACCAGCTGCGGAATCTCAGCCGCGACACACTCGCCGGCCACACGGGCCTGCATCACCTGGACCTGCACTCCAACAAGATCCGCTTCATTCAGCCGGGACTTTTTGAGGCCATGCGTGACCTCAAAGTCCTGGATCTGTCCGGCAATCATCTCAACGTGTTTGCTCTGGCCAAAATTCAAATCGGAACACTCGCAGCGGTGGAGTCTCTGGATCTTTCCAGTAACGGCTTGTACACGGGGATGTCTGACGTTTTCCTCGCCGATTCTCCTTGGCTGGTGGAGCTCTCGCTGAGCAGCAACAGCATCACCAAGATCTCGCAAAACACTTTCAGCGGCGCCTCGTCCCTGAGGAGGATTAGCCTCCATAACAACGTCATTTTGGAGATCGAAGACGGCGCCTTTGACTCTCTTGATGACCTCGTCGAACTGGACTTGTCCATGAACTCTATCGCCTGCATCACAGATTTCAATTTGAGACGGCTGAGAGTGTTAAACCTCAGCAGGAACAGCCTGGAGCTCTTCCAGAGCACCGGATCAGCCGAGCTGTACCATCTCGCCTTTCTGGATCTGAGCGAAAATAAACTGCCTTATTTCCCACTGCTGCCCGCCAACAACACAATCCGACATCTGGACCTGTCGCGCAACCGCCTGCATAGCCTCAACGTGACGGACACGGCCGAGACCAAGACGCCCGAGACCGTTTTGAGGCACCTGGAACACTTGGACTTAAGTTACAACCAGCTCACGGACTTGCCGCAGTCCTTCTTTCGCACAATGACGTCGCTGGAAGTCCTCAACGTGAGCAACAACTGCGTCACCTTGTTTTCCGTCACCGACGAAGACCTCCTTCCCGCAGCCAAGATCATCAACCTTAACTACAACTCCCTAGAGAGACTTTCCTTCGGCGAAGGGAGCCTCCAGGCTTTGGAGGAGCTCTTCCTGCAAGGTAACGACCTCAGCACCCTAGCGCATCAAATGTTCCAGAGACTTCCGAGTCTGAAACTACTACAGCTCCAGGAGAACAATCTTCGAGTGTGCCCCTCACAGACAAAACCAGATCCAAATCCTGCAAAATGTGTCTCGTTCTCTTCCGTTCCAAATCTCAAGGCCCTTTACCTTTCTCGGAACAATCTGAAGAGTTTGCCTGATAGAGCGTTTGCCAACAGCCCTCTCAGCTTGCTCGACTTGTCCCTCAATCCCGGCATGGAGATGCACCGAGACTCCTTGGCCGGTCTGGAGGACTCCCTGGTCCAGCTCCTTCTGAGGGAGAACAACATTTCCCGCCTGAACACGGACATGTCATCACTGAGGAGCCTGAAACTGGTCGACCTGTCCACCAACCACCTGACCAGCCTCCCCGCGTGGAACCGAGAGCTCTCCATCGAGACCCTCAACTTGCAGAACAACAGCCTGGTCACTCTGGAGCGCAGCACCGTGGCAGCGTTGGAGCACTCGCTGAAGACGCTCTACGTGGGCGACAATCCGCTCAGCTGCTGCGGAAACCTGGACTTGGTGCGCCTGCTGCAGCACTCGGCCGTGGTGGTGCCCGACATCGAGGCGGCGACGTGCGTTCTCGGCGAGGGCTCGGAACCGGTCAACATCGAGAAAGTGACCCAGGAAATGTGTCGGGGACGAAAGAAAGCCAAATACATCGTCGTCATCGTTGGGGTTGTGTTCTTGGCTGCCATTGCCTTGGGAGTGCTGGTGAAATACTGCAAGTCGAGGAAGGGGAAGCATATCCGAAGATTTAGCGCATGAAGGAGAATTCATTTTGGAAAAAGTGGATTATACCCTCACACACACTGACTTTTAAGATCTGATTTTTGACCTCACGCGATTATAAGTGTAACCTGCTTAAAATTCTGCTGAACATTTTTTGGGAAGGTATTTACTTTTAAGAGTCCAGAATACTTCAATCTAGGAACAACTTGAGTGGCTTTCGACTAATAATGTCTTAATCGTGGATTGCTTTTTTTGATTTCAATCTGAAACCAAATAGGAAATCAGGTTTCAGTTAACGGTCTCCATTTTCTTGCCGGTTGATAAACGTTAGCATAAAAATGGAATTTAAGGAGTGACATCGTTTAAAGTAAATGGAAATGAATGATGGAATTGAACCGCTGGAGAAAAGGAACACCTGAGGGGACAGTTTGGACGAGCATTTAGCTTTTATGGACATTAGCTTGAATTCAAAGCTCATGAAAAAAAAAGTGTGGGTGAAGTCCGCTGTCGTAATTGGAGTCTGGCGACTGATCCTCTTCAGACTCAAGAAGTAGTTTTTGCACTTTACGCTTACGCTCGTTTTTTGTGTGTGTGTCATTTGTGAACACTAATAACAGTTTTTATAATTTATTTTTGTATTAGTCAGGATGAATTTATTCAAATTATTGGACTGAGCACTCGCAATAATAACTGTGACACTTTTTTTTACTATGATGGCACACTTTTTGTACCCAAAAGTCATTTCATATAATGAGATACACTGACAACGTGCGTGATTAAACATAAACCCGTGAACACTTTCCTTCTTCTCTTTCTGTTCGTTACGGAGACAAAAATCACCTGGATTGTACTCGGATGCTCGATGCTAATGTTAGCACTGGAGTTGGCTCTTGTTGCGACATGTTTTGCACGAAGGTAAACAAAATCTGAAGTATTTGTCACACAATTTGGACAAAGCCTTGCTCGTTGTTTATGGAGACTTGCATGGTTGCTAACTGACTAACTAAATATTGTGTAAACACTAAACAGATGGGATACTAAGCGCGGGCGCTAACGTCAAAGCGGCCCGTTGAAGGCTCTGCTTCATCACAGGAAAGCCGAGATGGAAATCTGGTTTATTTTTAGCCATAATAACCACAATCAAATGTCTAGACTTTTTGTTGTTTATGCCGCGCTCACAAGTGCTCTTCATCTGTTTATTTGATAGACTAAACACACACTCGGGGGTGTATTAGCAACACAACAGTAAACAACAATGTGATGCCAATCATAATAATAAGGAGAAATATGTGTTTACAGGATGGTCCAAGGAGGTTCGGAACAGTCCCTGGGGGGAGGTTAATTTGAAGCAGACCTCAGTCACTCACTTTACTAGTCTGTGTTCTCTTGAAGCCGCCGGTGACTCATGGTGATGCTCAGCAGTCCACTTAAGTCCCAGTGAGATAAAAAAAAAAAAAAAGTTAAAAAAAAAAAAACTGTGACTATACAGGGACTCACAAACTAACACTAATCCACAACAACGGAGCGTAAACTGAAGCGATAGGTAGTTATTAGGTCGAATCATGGGCCCTTCTAGAATTGGAAGACATACATGACGTCATGTAAATATCAAATGTAACAAATACAATAAGGTTTAAATCAACTTTTTAGAAGGGTAGCCAGATGGGTAGATGGTTGGTAGACAGCTAAATCGGATACGCTGTTACTTGGCTCTTTGGTTCGGGAGGTACTTGGCAAACAAGAAGGCTTGGTGAGATGAGATGGCTCGTTTGATCGGAATGGACTGATGTATTTTTCTGACTAGACAGGCATGTACTGTACCGGTCAGTTAGCCTTGCCAGCAGGCTGAATATTCGCGGTATTTGCGAGTTCACTGTGGAGAATTAATTTGAATGATTAACGTATCAATCTGGCTCTCGCCAGTTTACTGGCCAGCACCAATGACCACATGGCCACCAGGGGGCGCTGCGTTCCGTTCAAACTATGTTCCAAGTTGGCCACGAGCGTGTCCCCGAGTGTCCACCAGATGGCGTCTGAGACGTCAGTGAGTATTTTTTTTTTAAGCAAAGATAAGCAGATCAGCAACGACTTCAATTTCTCACCGACAGCTTTTTGGCATTCAGCACAATGACACACTCACACACGCACACACACTTAATTGGCTTTACATGGATGTCTGTTCACTACTTCACAATGGACTCAACACCACCAGGCTAATGATTTCTATGAACAAGTGCTGCCGATGCAGCAATATTGTCAACACTATTTATAGCTTTGAATGATCTTGTTTAGTTTCCGGACCCCCGCTTCTTGGCCACAAAGGTGCAGAATCTCACCGGCAAGCCTCTCGATTCCAAGTGCGACAAAACAATGGTCGTTTACTTTGATATTGATTTGAGTTTAATTAGGTTTGGATTTTTCATTTCAACATTTTAACTGAATTATTTACATTGTTAGTTTTATTGAAATTATTATTACTATTTGGTCTCAGCTTCATACCGATAAAAGGTCTGTGCTGTGACAATACACACATTTAATACAAAGTGCTGCAAAACACATCCCGTGACGATAACCGGATAATAAACAGATGATTCATTGCGTGAAGATGCACAAAGCAACCTTGTCAATCAGCCTTGAGAACCCCCTTTCGTGACACCCCCGGCCCACACATACACACACACACACACACAAAATGTTGGACATAATCTGTTCCAGGGTCAAACTGTCACCATCATAATAGATTTATGTCACTGCACAGGACTTGGAATCAGATTTCAAAATGACTGTTGGACATAAAGAGGAGGTAAAAATAAAATAAACTACTCACCCTTTGATGAGATGGAGACGGGAAGAGGCATCGTTGAGGCGCAACTGGAACAAATAAAAAGTGTAACGTTTGATTAACTGCATTTATGAGGGTTCAGTTTTTTTTTTGTTTTACACATGCATATTATTATTTAGCAGAAATGTAGAAAATATTAGGATTGTGTTCAATATTAAGATTTATTTTTAATATTCAAATTATACGGTGTTGGATGATGGGATTTTCATGTCTTGGTGATGTCATCAGTTGCATATCACATGACCACTAGAGGGCGTTAGAGATGCAACTGACATTATAGATTTTATTCTTGCATTATGACGCCAAGTACTGAACAATGCGTTGCCTGTCACCAAAATGTGCATGTTTGGTTAATTTATCTGGTACAGTTTTTTTTCAATTTCCGGGACTTTCGACTTGACAAGCTTACTCGAGTGGAAAATGACACATCTTCTGACATCGGGCGGCCTGGATGGCAACCAAGTGAAACAAAAACAGAAATGACTTCTTTGTTGACCCATAAGGCGCACGTCCGCGGTTCGCATGCACTTTCTCCTTTTAGCGTGAACATCGTACACCGACATATGAAGTCATGCACGTCCGCAAAGGTGTGCTTGGATGAGTGTGGTGCGGAAGAAGTCGAATGCAGCCGTCCTGGGGGTACACAGAAAGCACTGCTTTTATTGGACTGCACTGGACCAGACCGGGTGGGACGCCACCGGATAAGAGGTTTGTGTGTGTATGTGTGTTTGTGTGTGTGTGTGTGTGGGGGGGGTCTGGGGGAATCGGCAGCCGTGGTTAAGGCAACACACAAAAAAGCATGCAGATATACAGTCACAGAGGAAGGACATCATCATATTGCTTGTCAAAGTCTCGCCTCAAACATCCAAATTGTACAAAAAGGAAGAAAATAGGCTTCTCGCGCTAAGGAAAAATACACGTTTTGTTTGTTTTTGTCCCTCCCTCCTACAAAGAAGATTCTAATACAAGAAAATAAATATAGCAAAACAAAATGCCAGAGAAAAATAAAAAATAATTTAAAATAGCTTTTTCTTCTTCTCATATATGTTCGATAGTTCTTTGCTATTCACAAATGGCACAACATTCTTTCAAAACAAAAAGAAGACAGAAGGATAAAACCCCTGCGACATTCATATTCACGTGTTGGACAAAAGAAACTTTTGATGCAGCGGAAGATTGATGGAGTTTTTTTTCTTTCTTAGATTCTGATCCAGATTCACACCCAGTCTAAACATAATCTGGACTCAGTCTGGTGCTGGTGAGGATGATGCTTTAAATGAACACAAAGAGAACATTTGCCCGATTTAAGCCAATAAGTGCTTAGAAAACATTTAAAAACCCTCCCGTTCTGTTCTGGGTGAAATTGACCCATTTTAAACCCAAAAAGGAGTTGTTTCTTTGGAAACGTCTTCTGGTTGGCTTCGAAGTGTTATGAACAGATACAATTTCACAGGTTTGTAATGCAAAGGCTCATAATGGAGATATTAAGATTGTTCATTTCTCACACTTTAGGATCATGAAACACCACTCTGGGTCAAATTGACCCATTTCATGGCTAAAAAAAATCCAAACTAATAAATACAATTGATACAATTTGTTTTTTCCATTTGGTTTATCCACTTAATGATTAATCAAACACGCCCTGGGTCAAAATGACCCATGAACAATATCACCGATCCTGAGAAACAAATGTCACAGGAGAGTTAAGTGCTGCTTTAAGTGTTTAATTGAGGTGCTTTCACACCCGTAGTCGGCCTTTTCTGCTCGGAATCAATTGATGGGTTTGTAAACTTGGTCCGTGACCCCCCCAGGGTTTGCTTCACAGAAACTCAAGAGTGTACGAGACCACATTCTGATGCTGCTCTCTTCTTTGATTGGTCACAAGAATGTTACAGGAAATTGGCTTTTTCGAGAGCGTTTTTTTTTTAAAATGACTTTAATAACTACGTGGACAAGCTAAACGTGGCTAAATTACACCAGCAAATAGCCAAATGCGTATTATCTTCTTTCCCAAACAAAACAAGGCAGAAACTATTACACGTGTATGACAACCTACTAACTGCTGTGGACCAACTGGATGAAAGCAAACTCAAGGGTGCCAGTGTAAAAGCACTCTCGGGATAAACGGCATGGAATTCTCTGCTTTAAAACCTGAAAAATGGAGTTGATTAAAGGTAAGATTATGCAGAAGTCAAAGGCAAATTAACTTGTAATACCACTTTGTGCCAGTAGGGGAAGGCGGGGTGAGTGAGACACTAACTTGAAACCGGTTGTCTTTTACAAGCTAGCAATGAAGTTAGCATTTCAGCCCGGGTGTTGATGCTTTGCTGTCAAGTGCTGCCGATAACAGGGTCAAGTTGAAATCGTATATATTCATAAGTGCCATCAATTCATTTAACAGTCCAAATGTAGTTCAACTCCTTTGGCATTCTCATGTCTATTCCTCAAACTTTCTTCAGGCTACAGTGCTACCTGTTGAATGTGTTTTCATGTGGTCTGACATTTTGGTGTTTAAAAACACATGACCAGAATCCCTTGAGGGAAAAATCCATAAAAACGAAAGAAAAAAATAAAAAGAAATTGGAATATGATGTGTACTTCACAGCCAACAGCGAGTCCAAAGTAGCGCACGAGAATTAGCTTAGCATCTACTCAACACAGGAGGCAAAGAACCCCCGCTCTACATTTGGCTAGGAAGCGAGGAAGGAAAGGGCGTGTTCGCCACACTGTAAATATGGTATCATAGCGGTTTGTCTACACTAAGGAGAAGGCGTGGCGGTTAAAATTCGAGTACATCGAGCGCCTACTCCACCGCGCCGCTTCACTACTACGTGCTACGATCTTTGCTGTCTACTTGGAAGGAACACGGAAAACGTCAACGGTTGTCATTCTCATAGCCAGCAGGAATAATGATATTAATAACCATAATAAGAGCCTCCTCTTGGAAGGAGTGCATAGAGGAGTGTCGGGTGCGCATACGGGAGCATCAAGGACGCATTCGAGAGCTTTCAGGGACACATACGGGAGCGTCGGCAATGCATACGGGAGTGTCACGAGCACATCAATGAGTGTTGCGCACATATACAGAAGCAGTGGGATCGCATTCGGGAGTTTCGGGAACGCATTTGGAGCGCGTACGGGAGAGCGTGTGGAGCGCATAAACTTGATAGCTGACGTCTGGTCGCATCATCAAACCCTGTTACACCAAACCTGCTTTAAGTGACTGTGTGATCAGTTCAGCAGCAACGCGCCGTTTTGAAATCGTTGTATTAGCGGAGCGACACACACGCAAAAAAACAAAAAACAACAAAAAAAAAAACACGCAGGGCATAAAAAAGTGGGCCCATGCACATGATTGGTCCCGGCATTATGGTCAAGTGACCACACCGAGTGCTCAGTAGTCGTCCAAACATGGAAGTTTCTCAATCTCGACATACACGTGTCGTTTTTACTGTATATGTATGTGCGTGCGCATATATATATATATATATATGCACACACATTCACACACACACAAAACAGATATGTATATAGTATATATATATATATATATATATTTATTCAGATAGATACGTTAGTGATCGCTAGCGGAATCTTTTAATTTCGCAAAAAAAAAAATAAATTGTTGGTCGAGTTATCAAGACATTACTTTTTCTCTTTTTTTTTTTTAAAACCATTTTTTTTCTTAAAAGCCCTGAGATAACCGCAGACGTCCTTCAGTACAAAAACAGCAATGTTTTCTTTTTTTCCTCAAACGCACAAATTGCCGGCCAACGTTGTGACAGTTCAGCCTCGTTCGCCAAGCCACGTCATCCGCTGGCAAAAGTAAATGAAACAGGAAGTCGGACGTCCTAAATGCTGCCCTCTAGAGGCTGTTAACTGGCACTGCACGATGTTGATAACACACCTCTGATGGTGAAAAAAAAACAAAAACAAAACTTTGTCCGTACATCCTTTGTTCAGGCACTCTAAAAATGATTAAGTAAGGTGACACATTCGCATTGATTGTTATAAATCGGATTGGGCGACAGCTGATTGGTTGGCGATTGTTTGGCTTGGGGGTTTCTTTGAGGGGAGAGGGGTGCGACAGAAGGCACAGAATTTATTTCAGGCAAACAAACGGAATTTTGAATAAGGAAGGATATTTTTGCACGGTCTTTTTTCTTCTTTCCAACTACAACTGCTCTTCGATCTGGAAATGACCAAGCTTCTTTTTTCCGTGTTCATAACACTACTTGCTCGCTAGTTGTGCTTTCCGACACCACCTGCTATTCGAAGAAGACCCTGAAACCAGCCTCGGTAAAGATATTTAGAAGAATGCCCCAAAGATGTCGACAACAAAGTCTTTTAACGCGCAGAAATCGGAGAAAAAAAAAAAAATTCAGACGTCTGTTTCCTATTTCCGTTCGGAACTTAGCGGTGAGACGCGAGGAGGCTAGTGGCTACATTCAAAGAATGCTCAGGGCACAGGTGGAGCCAGTGGGCGAGGGAGAGCGCTAACATGTATACGGTGCGTTCAGGGTCTTTAGGACGCCATGACGCTCCGCCTCAGCAGGTCCTCGTTCCCGGAATGCAACTGGGGCAGGCGGAGCTTGCGCGCTCCGCCGGGACGCGTGTCCAAGTCACTTTGCTCTCCGTCGGAAAAGTAGCCGTCACCGTGGAGCAAACGCTGGTCCTTGGCCTCGGACGCCCCCCCACCACCGGCTCGCCCTCGGGATTTCACTTGGCGGGACACGCGTAGCCGCGGGGATGGCGCGGAGGGCGGCGGCCTCGACGCGATGCCGCCGCTGTCCCACGGCCCGCCGTCCTCCGAGATGTGGCAGGAGTCCATTTTGGAGATGGGCGGCTGCAGGTCGGAGCTCCTGGTGTGGTGACGGTGGAGGTGGTGGTGGTGAAGGACCCTGGAGGAACCTCGGGACCCCTTGCGGGAGCCGTTCTTTTCCTCCGCCCCGGCGCCCGCCCACGCGCCCTTAACGGCGGAGGCGCAGGACCCCGAGCCGGCGCACAGAAGCATCCGCGGCGGCGGCGCGGCGCCAAAGGAGGGCGAGTGTCCGCGGGGGCGGGGCTTGCAGCTGCCTCGGGATTTGCGACCCAGATGGGGCGTCTTCCACGCGGACTCCATGGAGTTTTCCATCATCAGATTGAGCAAGCTCTCCTCGCCCTGCAGGAGCTGCAGGACAAGCAGCGAGTTGGGAAATTTAGCGCGGTTGTAAAAATGAAAATGGCAGACTTCCTGTCTTTTCGGGCATGGGATCTTGAGACTTTTCCGTGGGTCTACTCGTAAGAGACATGCGGAGCTAATTTCACGTTCTTAAGGGAAAATGGCTTAAGGGGCCGAAATGCAGATTTTTTTTTTTTTTTGCTTTAACTTGGAGCCTCCCTGAGGATCCTTTCGGACTGTTACCTGGTCAGAGAGCAGGGTGCCGCTCTTGTCCCCGTGCTGTGAACCCAGAGCCCACTTGCTGAGCGTGTCATCGGCCGTGATCTGCACAGACTGAGCCAGCCAGCTGTCAAACAACGAGTTGTCCAACGGGAAGGACTTGGACAAACCTGCAGAAAGCAAACACAAGGTTTCATATCAAAAAAGGGGGAGCGAATTCGACTCCGGGCTGTGTCAATCTTCAGGGATGATGTGCCAAGTAGGACAGCAGGAGGTGCTATTTGGGTGGCTGGGACACCACTGAGCCACCACACAAAACCCATGCACATAAACACCACCACGCATTTGTTTCCATGACGCAGCATGCCTCTGCAGGAGAAGCGAGGGGGGCGGAAAAATGAGCAGGAAGGTAAACACACCGCCATGGAAATGATGTGACGCGTGTTTTTTGGCAACCTTACATGGGGACAAATAAGAAATGACTGAAAATTGACAGAATGTCGTTTGTTTTGAGAACCCCGGAGCGATGTGCCTCGGGGATTCTTTCCCGGCCAGAAGGCGCGCAAGGTGGCGCAGCGTTCAAATAATCGGACCACATACAATCCAGTCGTGGAGTGTACCTAGCTCTTTAAGCAGCGAGTTACTGTCTGACTCCCATCTCTCCTTTCTCTTGTCAGGACTACTCTTCCTGCTGCTCTCCTTCCCTGCACTCTGCTTCCTCTTTCCTCCTCCTCCTCCTCCCTTCTGGGCTCTCTCTGCGGGGGAGACACAAGTAGATGTTATCAAGGTATTTAGTTCGTTTATTTCCAACCCCTCTATGAGTTTATCGTAAATGTTTGCAGGGTCCCGTTACCACTGGTGGCCTCGTCATTCAGGTAGCACCTTTCTTGTTAGCATTGAGCAGGCGCACAGAACGCGCGATTTAAAATATTGCGATTGTTCACCCGGATCAAAGTGTACGATAATAACCTTGAGCCACATGCTTTTTTTTTTTCACCATTGTGACAATTTCTAATCTTCCGCAACAGAATTTTGTCACTGTGTTCCCCATTTTTTTATTTCCCTAATCTGATTTTTTTTTCTTTTGTGTGCATTGCAGCTCAGCAGGAGGGGGGCAAAAAAAAAAAAAAGATCTTTTGGGGTTTTCAAGGACAAGAGTGGAAGATTCCCCCCCTGCAAGCTTGTAATCTGCGCACAGATCCAGCTCCATCAGCAGTGCTTTAAAACACCGCTTTACAAGCTTTTATCTGCATTATTCAAGGCCCGAGCAAGCGGTGTGCAGGCCCTCGATCTTAGGTCGTATAAATCGCAATTTTGAGGGCTTTCTTATCCTCAAAGATTTGCAGCTGTGTTCAACCTGGTGAACGAGTTTTCGGTTGGGCTCGTTGGGGTGTGACCGCCTAAAATCTCACCCCCCGGGCTGCTTTGAGAATCCAGACCGCAGGGTCAGTTTCACCTCGTAACGCGAAATTTGGTAGGCAGGTTGATCACGAGAAGAGCCACCAAAAAAATGCCATGCCTGAAAAATCAGGGGAGGTCTGGTATTTTGGTGTGAAGCAACCAATTTTGGCTGACATCGAGGGGTCCTTCAATGACAATCTTGTTCGACACGTTTATATTAAAAAAACAGTTTCACTGAGCAACGCGGGATTTGGTTGCCATGTCTA